CTAGGTTTATTGGTATTCATTTCAATAATGGTAAATTCACTGTGTCATCTTGTAGAGGTTTCTCTTGAGTGCAGACATAAGTTACAACAATTTCTTTATATTCTTTATAAAAGTTTTTCTTCTCCAATCTTTGTGGCTTCTATCAATATATTATATTCTCCCGAAGCTTTATTTCTTTTCATTTTCTTGAGTGTGTTTCTTATTTCGTCTGCTGATATATCAGGAATCAATTCCGATTTTTAGTTGACTAATATTTTCCTGAAGTTTCTGTTAGTTGCTAATCATGATTTTATTGACTTATGTATAATTCTGTACAGAAATATTCTACTACCCTTGGTAATTCATCTCTATTGGTGATATTTCCATATAATTTCCATATCCTTAAATTTCAATATTTCTTTTCTGCTATATGTCTCTTTTTACCTAAGAACTCTGAGACTCCTGTGATTTTTAATCGTTTGTTGACTTTGTTCTCTTTTATGCTTTCGGTTGTCCATTCTAATAGAATCCACAAGGAAAACAATTCCTGTAGCTGGCTGTATACCACGTATCACAAAAAAGAGGTTAATCTTCGTAAATGGGTATATTTATTTAAAAACCCTTAAAAGGCTACATCAAAAAAACAAACGTTTTCGGACTAAACAGTCCATCATCAGGTTTAAAATTGCTAGGTTAAAATGCCTGAGCCACCAAAATACCAGGATAAAAACCCTTTAAATTACATGTAGTTGTAAAAGATTGTACATATTGTTGTCATAAAACTGTGATGTTAAATATTAAATAAAATTTGACTTCAGGTAACATGCTTGAAGTGAGTTCCAGTGTCCGGAGAAATGTTACCTGAAGTCAAATTTAATTTAATATTTAACATCACAGCTTTAAAACAACAATATGTACAATCTTTTACAACTACATGTAATTTAAAGGGTTTTTACCCTGGTATTTTGGTGGCTCAGGCATTTTAATGGCAATTTTAAACCTGATGATGGACTGTTTAGTCCGAAAACGTTTGTTTTTTATGTAGCCCTTTTAAGGCCCTTAAATAAATATACCCATTTACGAAGATTAACCTCTTTTTTCATTCTAATAGATTTTTGTATTTTTTTACTTATCTCTTCAAGTTCATGGTTCATGGTGTTCTTTGCTTCTATTACTTTGCATGTTTCTCCTCCCTTATATTAATGCTTGTGTTTGGGAACGTATTCTTTCGTTATATGATTTCTTTTGGCTGTGGCAGTGTATCTTCTGGCTTTCCTCTGTAGCTTCTATTATAATGTCATTCAGAGTGTTGACATTTAGGTCTGTGTTCTTATTGCTTTCTAGCATGCTGTTGATGTGTTCTTCAAATACATGTATATTATTAGGCTTTTTCCAGGTAGGTGTAAACTTCTTTTTGTACATGCGGTATCTCCCTTTCCCAAAGTCTATTTCAGGGGTGCTCAAACTTGAACTGCTGGCGATCTACCTTAATATTTTTAGACTACTTACGATCGACTCTGAGAGACTGCAAGTGTGTGTGATGCAGGGTTGTCGTACATACACGATACACCCTACCTACCTAGGTAGGGCGTACCGTAGCATATATAGATATTAGCTTTCTGCACAATATAGGTACATTATTTTAGTCAAGGTTTGGGTTAGGTTTAGTTAGGTTCTTCTCTATAATATCAATGAAAAAACTCATAGTTATTCATGATTGCGTTTATTTGTTGTTACAAAACAAAAGAGTTACATATGGTGTTAAACTTAACTAAGTTTAACACTTTGGATGTTGAAGCGTGGCACTGCATGTCCTCAGCATACTTTTCATAAGATAGTACGTAACCACTGAGTGCTAATCGCAAGCATGATGTCATATGATCGTCAGTTTGTCGATTGCGATATTTTGACTTAATTATCTTCATTTCGCTGCATAGAATAGGCAAGGAAAGAGAACTTTTTAACACAGTAAAAGTTAGAAAAACATCGTACCTAGGCCACATACTGAGAAATAATAAGTACCAATATGCCCAACTTATAGTGAAAGGAAAAATCGAGGGAAAGAGAGGCCTAGTAAGGAAAAGACTATCGTGGCTCAGAAACATCCGACAATGGACAGGGCTAAATTTTGAACAGCTAATAAGAACAGCTGAAGATAGAGAAGAGTTTAAAATTGTAGTAGCCAACCTCCATTGAGGAGAGGACACTTTAACAAGATCTTCATTTCAGAAAATGCAGACTCGCACAAGTAAGTTGACCCAAAAAATGCCGTCAGTTGAAGGGCGATTTGCCTTACATTCGGATATTTATCTTCAGATATAAAACGCCAGAAATTTGTATCAGATACTGTAGCTTTAAAATGTATATCGGATATAATCTGCACCAACTCATTTTCAACAAAACATGAGTTCATATTAAACTGACTTGCTATTTCAGTAGCTAATTCCTCAATGTTTTTACATGAAAAAGGATAACTCATAAATGATGCTATATTTTCCAATTTACTGCAATCATAAAAACGCATTTCGAATTGTACCAAAATATTTGATAATTCAGCCTCATACGTATCATAATTGAACTGAGGAATCCTTGCTTTCAAAGACGGAAAATGTTTCAGATCCTTTCTTTTCAGTTGATCTATCATAAGTTGCAATTTACTTTTGAATGCGTTTACTGCGCTAATCATATCAATAATAGTTTTTCCTTTACCTTGAAGCTCCAAGTTAACGGTGTTTAAGTGCATTGTGATGTCAGTCAAAAATGCCAAATCATTTAGCCATTTTTCGTTTTTCAAAATCTGAGTGTAATCAACTCTTTCGTCTAGAAAAGCTATTATTTCGGGCAATAATTCTTGAAACCTTTCTAGGAATTTTCCGCGACTCAACCACCTGACGTCCGTGTGAAGAACTAAATCAGTGTGTTCAGCTGACTCCCTATCTTCCAACTGCAACTGAAAGAGCCGCCGTTGCAAGCTACGTGCACGGATGGAATTCACAATTTTTGTTGCCTCCTAATGTTTTTAATGCCCATAATTTCCTCCGTGTTTAAAACTTTTGAACACAAAACTTGTTAATGTATAATGCAATGGAATGAAAAAAATGAAGGGAATTCTTCATTAGCTCGACACAATGCCACAAAACCGTTTTTGTTTCCAGTCATTGCTGGTGCTCCATCGGTTGTAATCCACATTAATTTATATATTGGTAGCTCGTAGTTTTTTACAAAATTTAAGAAAACGTCATATATATCTTCATCACGGGTCTTCCCAATCAGAGGAATGATTGTCAAAAAATTATTCCTTAGCCAACATGTCATTGAATACCATCCGAATAAAAATACACAGCTGAGCAGTGTCTGTTATATCGATGGATTCGTCGAACTGTAAAGAAAAGTAAGTACATTCCATGATATCATGTTTTAGTTTATCTGCGATGTCTTGACTCATGACTTCAATACGCCTTGTGACAGTCGGACGAGAACTGAAGTTCTCTAATAGCATACATGATTTCTGTTTTATTTTTAAAATCTCCAAATAAAGTCTCACCCGCTTCAATAAATGCTTCCTTCACCACCGATCCATCTTCAAATGGTTTTTTGTGTTTCGCCAAAATATGAGATATTTTAAATGACGCGATCGTAGCAGCTTTTGATTGTTTGGCTGGTCTTGTGAACATGGATTGTTCTTTTTTCAAACAAGATATCAAATCACTTACTTTTCGTTTTATTAATTCACTCTGTGGCGGAAAATCCTTTCATAGTTTTTATGAACCGTTTTATGATGCCTCTTTAAGTTACCACGCTTAGGTATTGCAACTGACGCACGACAAATAACACAAATGCACTTATCCTTCACCATAGAAAAGAAAAATTCTTCCTCCCAATCCCTATTAAAATGATACGTTTTAGATTTCTTCACTACACTCATTTTCCACTATTTAATAACAAACTTTGTATCGACGTAGGATCGCTATCAAGTTACAATTCAGAATAACTTCAATTCCTGCAGGCGCAACATTTATATCGGCCTGAACGAAAGTCTCGAATGTTCCCGTCAAACGCGCCGCCCGAAACTAGACTCTACTGTCTCTTGTCTAGAAACAACACGGCTTTTCTTTGACAAGTGCCGCGCGTTCCTTTGATAAAGCCACCTTTTGCCGCAAGCAGTGTTATTTCATTACGTAATACATTTTTGTAGTTGATATAATATCATCCCAAATTTGATTAATAATTATAATAAATATTGAATTAATAAAATAATTAGTTATTATATGTAAATATAAAATATGCTTTGTGGACAGTATTTTGTTGTCCCCACTTCTTTGAATTGCAATGATGCTTAGTCAAGCATTCTATGTATTTGTATAGTTCAGTATTAATAAAAACGTTTAACTCTGCTGACAGTAGTTTAGTTACCTACCTACTTATTTAAATTTTTTCTCTTCTCGAGATCTACCCAAAAAGCACTCGCGATCGACCAGTCGATCGCGATCGACCGTTTGAGCACCCCTGGTCTATTTCTATTGACTTTTTTACCATCCGGGATATAGCGCGGTAAATATTCCAAGTTTTAAAATTAATCGCTGTGTTACATTAAAAATATCTTTATAATGAATAATAAGTTGCTTAGTCATAGGGCCTGTTTTTCACTTACTGCATGAGTTATTTTGAGTGGGTCAAGGTGGAAGCAGTTTCGGTTATGGTTTCGAATGAAAGTATTTAATTTTGAGTCGGCATGTCTGGTTTCGCTTCTTTAAGTGAGCATTAATAGACCACAGACCGATCGAGCATATTTTTTTAATTATAATACGGTTTTGTTAGTGTTAGGGTTAAAATGTTGGGAGCCACCCTGTTGGCAGTTAATTGTCACAATATAGGAATTATATGCTGATGATTTTGCTGTGGCAAACATCTAGATGATGACTTGCAACAGTTTCTGTAAGAAAAAAGATTATTTGTTGATTTCGTATCTATAATATATATTGTTATACCACATATCATCATTTGTATGTTTATTATTACAGGACTGGTCGGACCTTATAGAATACGTCATTCATAAATTTATAAATACTCCTGGCACACATTGTGTCGAGAACGCCAGCAACCAAGTACATTTGAGCAGTGATAATAATTCTAAATCTGAAAAAACTCCATCCGAGTAAGTACCCTAATTAATTAATTGCGAAAACATTGGCTTTATTTTAGGTACAGAAAAACACTAATTTTTACTAAGCGATTAACCGCTTTTTTATTAAGCGATTAAGCGATTAACTCTTCCGCTTGTGGACTTATGGTGACATTTGGTGAATACTAGAAGTTTTGATAAAATAGTAATAGGGTGGCTCAGATTTTTGACCTACTCCCTGTAGTTTACGAATTAAGATTACAATAAAACAATTAAATTTAAACACATTTAAAATCTTTTAAATTTTATGGATGTTATCTAATACTGTATTTTTTTAACTTTACTACTATAAGTAGCTTCAAGTTTAATATTAATTTAGTATAAAAGTAAAAAGGAAAATATTTTTTATATAATTTTAATATATATCAAACACAGTAATCAAATAAAATTAAGATTTTAAGTTTTTAATTTAATTAGTTTAAATTAATCGTTTTCTTCTTTTTAAACGTCAGTTTCCGGATAACAAAAAATTTTAGGTTATCTTTGACCTATGCCGAATTTTGACCATGATGAACGGCAGGTGGAATGAGTATTTTAGGTTCCCTTGCCGATTAATTCATCAAGCTGTTTGCTTTGCAAGTTGTAGAAGGCACAGTGGTAAAAATTTGGATTCAGGTTCGCCAGGTATGAAATCGTATGATTTCTCTTGTTGTTATTGGATGGCATTGTTACGTCTGAAAATAGTTATTTCGATAATTATTGGCCTACGGCGGGATAGATTTTGTTTCGATTCAGAGCAGTGGCATATACCGCTCTGATGAGACCTAAAGAGGTCGAAGTTGGTATAAGCGGCTTGCAGCTGCCCTCTATCGAAGCAAAAATCTAATACCGTCATTATGTGTTATTTCTTTACTGCTGTTTGGAGTACCAGAAACTGAATTCACTACGAATTTTGACCATGATGAGCGGCAGGTGAAATGCATATTTTAGATTTCCTTGCTGAGTAATTCATTAAGTTGTTTGCTTTGCAAGTTGTAGAAAGCACAGTGGTAAAAATTGAATTTAGTTTCGCCAGGTAGAAAATCATATGATTTCTTTTGTTGTAGTTATAAACAATTAATTTTTTGCCTTTTAATCAAATAGAATATCTCAAATAGAATATTCGATCACCAACATCTTTCCTTTTGAAATTTGTTTTAATTATTCCTTGCCACTGTCATACGTCTAGTTATTGAAAGTTGAGTATCCTGCATGCATATGCATTTTGTTAAAATACAAATTTGGCTTGTGTTGGTTTCATCAATATAATGTTATATCGACGCGTTAATCATAGTAGGCGAAGAAATGAAGCACTAAACTTACCAATTTTCTGCAGCAAGATGATCGTTCTATTTTTTTTTAATTCGAAAAAGTGTCAGGAAAGTTTGTGAAAATTCATGGCGGTAAAATGAAAATTGCATTTTGTGTCTAAGAAAAATGCATTTTCAAAGTACATGGAAAATGAAAAATTTGTAACTAGAACATATCGAGAGGAGTTGAATTTTGTTACTCGAGGGTTTTCAAGATGGCCAAATACGAATATGATAACTACGATGGTCCTGGAGCTACCTGGTGCCCAAGGTAGACCTCGTCTCTTGGAGTATATCAATTTCATTTTAAATTAGTCGACTCTTATAACTGATGGGTTTTTGAGGTCACTGAATACAAATATGATAACGACGATGGTCGTCAAGCTACCTTGTGTCCAGGGTGGACCTAATCTCCTAGAGTTTTATGTTATTTTTATTTGAAATCACTTAAAAGTCATTACTTGGAAGGTTTTGGAGGTCACTGAACACGAATATTATGACGACGATAATCCTAGAGCTACTTCTAGAATCTAGAATCAGTGTGGACCTCGTCTCCTGGACTTTTATGTTATTTTCATTCAAAATCAGTCGAAAGTTATTACCCTGAAGATTTTCGATGTCGCTGAATACGAATATTACGACGACCTAGATCCTAGATCTACCTGGGGCCCAGTGTGGACGTACTGTTAATTTGTTAATTTGTATTGAAAACACTTTTTACCTAGTGCACGGTCTCTCGTAAACCGTCGGAGTCTAAGTGGCTGTCGCAGCCTTGCTGTAGCAGCCAGGCTGCTACAATAGGCAATATACCAATAGGCTTAAAAAGCATAAAAAGAACTATTTTTCACTTCTTGTAGATTTTTTACTGACGAAGTTATAATAAATATAGTTGGGCTTTATGCATAAGCAGTTACTTTATATAGGCATATATTTAACATTTTAGCTTAGGTGATGGAAAAGTGAGGAAATGATCTTCTAGTCTAAAATAATAATGATGCAATAATGTGCTATTTTTAATTTAATTTGAAGTTAGATGACATTAGTTTTTTTATATCAGAGATTTACCTGTATTCAAATTTATAAAATATCTTACCGAATATTTTTTTTTTGGGCAAAAAAACTCATTGTGTCCAAGACTGAGATGTAGTGCATTAAAGTCCTTCCCCCCTTTTAAATTTAATGTTTGTTTCGTCCCTTCTAAGTGTTTTCTGTTTTAGTGTGTTTTAAATTGTCCTTAATTGTTTTAATTCTAATATTTTATTTACTTGACTTTGCAATAATCTACTATTTTGCCAATAGAACTTTATCAAAGTAATTTGATAACTACAAGTTGAAAAATAATTGCACACCCACACAATTTGTACATCTAAACTTATTCATTGCCATAAAACTGTCACCTTCATAAAACAATTACTCAATAAATAACACACATTTCATAAATATATCTCTCGAATAAGTATAAATAACTTTTAATAATACAATGGTATATTACATCACTTTCATTTAACAAACAATCACACACATATCTCTGCTTCATTGGATCAAATCTATCTCCTCAAGAACTTCCCATTTACTGTCAAACAACTACAATAGCAGAATTGAGTTCTCCATTCAACAATACATAGTAGTTTCAACCATGTTCTACCATCCATCAATTAATAGAGTACCGGCATCATTTATTTAACTTTGTATCGAGACCTGAGGATGCTTTGCATATTGTAGAGAGCGAAACCGGTCATCTGAATAGTTAAATTAAATTGATTGTGAGTACGTCTTATTTATTATTTCTTTAGCTATTTCCAAAGTTTATCTTTGAGCTCTTCTTTAAGCTTACGCAGCATGGAATCAATATCCTCTTCACACCTGGCAATAATAACCTGATCATCTGCAAAAAATAGCGTTTGTCAAGCAGTGATGTTTAATGTTTATCCCCCTATCTGCACCTTTCTTCTCCAGCCTTTCAATGCTTCTTGCATGTACATTTTGAATTGGGTAGACGATAAACAACACCCCTGCTAAGGACCTTCGTCACCTTTAACGTTTCATATGTATTATAAATTGCCCGAACATACACTTTACTAAGATTAGCCTTTGTCAAAACATTAAAAAGCTTTTTCAAGGACACAGTATCGTAAGCTTTTTCCAGGTCTATAAATATGGGATGACTAGGTTGATTTTGAGCTTTACATTTTTTTATACTCTGTTAAGCAGTAAATATATTATTCATGCACGATGTTCCTGCTTGGAAACCATTTATTTCCCTATTTTCTTATCATCATCATCACCAACAACTTGTATGCGTCCACTACTGGACAAAGGTCTCCCTGAGCTCTTTCCATCTGTCTCTGTCTTGTGCGGCTTGCATCCAGTTACTGCTAACACACTTCAGGTCGTCAGTCCATCTGATGGGAGGTCGTCCTATGCTCCGTAGTGCTTTTTGTCTTGGTCTTCACTCAACAATACGTTTTGTCCATCGGTTGTCTGATAATCTGGTGACGTATCCTTCCCACCTGCATTTTGGCGACACAATTTTTTCGATGTTGTTTTTGTTGTATGACGTGTTTCTTCATTTGGGATTTGGTCTCTCAGAGAGATACCCAACATCTGGCGCTCTATAGCCATCTGAGTCACGCGAATCTTATTCACTACCTTTTTTGTTTTAACGTTTTCGCTCCATAAGTGAGTACAGGTAACATACATTGGTCAAAGATTTTTCTTTTGAGGCATATTGGTAGGTCCGATTTAAATACATAGTTTAATTTACCAAACGCTGCCTAAGCTAACCCTATGCGACGTGCTATATGCATGTTCTAAATACTTATACGATGCGGTCTGCACAATACCGCTTCCACCAACAGTAATATTTTGATTTAGCAGCAGATTAGTCATTATTTACGTCTTGTTTATAATAGTCTTTAGTTCGATCTTCAAGGAAGCGTTACTTTTCCAACAAATGACTGAGATTTTCTTATACCTACTCTGATTTAATTTTATTTTTATTATTTTGCCATACAATCTCCCTATTGAAGTGGTCATGCTAATTCCTCTGTATTTTCAAAAAAAAAAAATTTGTCACCTTTTTTGTAGATTGATCTAATATAATTCTAATATCTTCTAATATAATGTCATCCCATTCCAGTCTAATGGGATATTGTCATCTTTAATCAAGCAGTCATTCAATAAATCTGCTAACAGTTCCAGTAATATCTCTGGGCCATATTTTACCAGTTCAATGGGAATATTTTCTAACCACGGAGATTTACCATTTTTATTTCCCCCAAATACCACTTTAATCTCATCTACCGTTATTTTCACTCTTTCTTCTTTTATTGATTTGATTTTGCGTATTTCTCCGTTTATTGACTTCTATTCTTTGTTTATAGAGTTTTATAGTGTTCTTCAAATGTTTAACTACTTATTAATTTCATGTTTCCATCTTTTCTTTCTTATCTCAGATTCTTTATGGTCTTCCAAGCCCGTGAAACCTTTGTTTCTCCTAGACATCTCTCTATCTCATTACATTTTTGCTACCACTCTTTTATGTTCTCTGTTAAATCTTACATATACTCGTCCATCGAGTCTTTAGTAACTAGACACGTTTGATAAGCTTTATTTTTTGACTCTTATAATTATTTAATTTCTTCTGACCGCTATTCTGAATTGTCGAATCGAATCTGAACGTTAAAACTTTGTTTAAGCTTAAGCTTCTTCAAGAAGAAGCAGCTCCCTTTTTGCAGGAGCTTTTGAGGGGAGCGAGTAACATTAAGTGCGAGTAGTGGTTTTTGGAGTGGTATGCAGCTATATAGCGGGGGCTTAGATGGTGGTTATGTAGAAAAGAAGCGCTATAAGATATAATTTAGACTAGCTAACCAAGCCATGAGCAGAAGGTACATCCAATGTTACCAGCGATGCTAGGAACGGCTGTGAATTTAGCGTTTTTGGGTCTACTGATCAGGAAGTTCGTTGCCAGCAAAGACTAGAATCTTGACTGGAGTGTATGGAACTTTTGTTAGGGGGTGAGTATGTGTGCCCTCGTGTCTTTTGCTGAGAGATCGGACTCTTTTTTTTTATTGGTGATATATTTGCAACTTGGTGAATTAATGCTGACGAATAATCTTGTACATTTTCTCTGCATTTTCTAAAAATTGTTTTTTCTGTTGCCATAATGGCGTTGGTTTGACGAGAATTTAGCGACACGTAGACACACGCCTTGTATTCGAAGATTGCTCTGATGAAAGTCTTTGATGTCAATGTACCATTTGAGAATCCTGCTAAAATGAACTCCCAAGTGGGACACCGAGTTTCTGTAATCAATATGTTCTCCTAGTATGGCTATCGTCCAGCATCGTGGCTGTGAGAGGATTTGAATAAAATTAATTGAATTTTGGAGAAATTAAACGTGACTCTCCATTTGTTGCACCACCTGACAATTCTGTTTAACTGGTCCTGTGCTCTATCGAAGACAGGCGCCTGCCTCAGCGTCCCACTGTATGTTCCTGCAGAGAGGAGTGCAGTATTTTCAGCTAATAATAATATTGACTCTAATCTAGTCAATAGGTAAGAAATGTTACTGTTGTAGATTTTGTACAATATTGGTGGTAGAATTGAGCCCTGAGGAACTCGTGGAGTGAATGTTGTTAATAGCATGTTAGCGAGTTTGACACTGATTGTCTAATTGGAGAGATAGGATTGGATTATTTTTAGGAAGGGAATAGGCAATGCTGTACGGTGGAGCTATCAGGTCTGTGTACCAAACCTAATCAAATGCCTTCTGGACATCAAGGAAGATTCCTATGGCGTTTCTATTTGTTTTATTGAGGGCTTGTGATATGAAGGTTGCTGCTTTAATCAATGTATTTTGTGCAGAGTTTTCAGCCCTGAATCCAAATTCGAAGTTAGGGATGAGAAAATATGCGTCTAGAAATTCTACGAGTATCTCCTTTAGGACCCTCTCGTAGACTTTACCTATGGTGCTGAGTAGTGAGAGAGGTATGTAGGATTTAGGACTGGTTAAGCCAGTCTGTTTTAAGCCTAGTTATTCTGTTTTGATAAAGGGATCTCGAAATCTTTTATACTTTCTGATTAATCTGCTTTTTTAGTTTGATTTTTTGCTATGATTCTTTGTGGAAGCTGGAGTATATGGATTTTATCAAGTTGTTGAAATAGAGAGGGATAAATCTTCTTGAAGAAGACTTTCAATTTTTGAAATTCCTGTGTCAACTTAGTTGATTGTTGACAGATTACGTAATTCTGGGAGGTTATGATTAATATGTTCTTGGAATAGTTCTGAATTAGCTTTACGATAATCTTGCCTATGGGCATTAGTAGTGGTTTGTGGAGGTGAGTTTAAGTCAGTTTTGACTAACGGTGAATCACCAATGAAACATTTACCGTCGAACCTATCCAGTATTCTGTCAGTACAGAGGATGTGATCGACTAAAGAAATTTCGCTGGAATTTAAGAACGTAACTTCATTGTTGGTGTTTCTTTAGATGTGAAGCTCTAGAAAAAGTTTGTTATTTTTTTTTGACAATCTCTAGATTGTCACTTTTATATAGCTCTTTATATCCCAGATCTTCTTTGTGCGCTTGATGAATGCAGTCTTTAATTGATTCGTATTTAACTTCTGTCTGTCCTCTATCATACACTGTTCTGCATTTTTGTAACAAAACGAAGTTTAAACAGTAATTGTGTTGATTGCTGCTTGAGGCTGTCTAAATTATATTTCTTGCTTTTAACACATCATCTTTATCACTAATTTGTCCACGTTTATGGTTTATATGCCGGTAGTTTCCCATTACTTTCAGTATTACCAAATGGTGATCAGATCCAAACAAAATATCCCTACATCATTATGCGAAAGAATCCTCCATTCATTATTTTTAGAGATAGACTTTGAGTGTTACTAAATAAGATAAAAAATGTATACTTAAAACAATATGAAATTTTCGAAATATTTAAGCATTTTTTCTGATTTTACCATTTATTTTAAAATTGAATCCAATATAATATGTATATATATTTTACTTTATTTTAAAGATGAAATTACAGGGGGTCATCAAAAATCTGCGTCACCCGGTACACATTTTAAAAATTACTGTTTTTTTCTGCCCAGGTGTAGCTCTCTCGATGAAATACTAATATTATTTAGGTGGACTAAAGAAGAAAAAGATAATCTTTTAAAGTATTACAATCAAAACAAAGAATCCTCGGAGACGATTGCCAAAATCATTGAAAGTTATGAAGCAGGTGGATTTAAGTTTAAATCACAAATATCGATTATAGAGGAACTTCTAGAACAAAATATTATCAGCGAAAACGAGTATAATGATTTAAGGAGACAGCATAGAATCGAAAGGATAGATTCTTTATCCGAAGATGAAGAAACCAAAGATATAATGGAAGATGAGTTAGGGTGTGATGATAGTTTAATAGACAGTGACACGAAGGTTATTAAGGAGTATTTGTACAAAGAAAATAAAGGAAAATTTTTAATCTGGCTGCAAAAGGTCTTACTGGAGGTTTGCTATGTCAAGTTGGTTCTTGGAAATCCCGAACAGTTCAAGGAGAATGTAAATTTATTAGAACCGACCGTATATTATTTCGCATGTAAGTATATTTCTAATTATTATTCTCATGAGTATCTCATATTTTCAATATTTTGAACATAATTTTTTATTAAGGCACATTCTATAAATAACTAATCTGTTTAATTATTGTAGTATCTAATTTACCTATTCCACTTATCCCATGGACCGTCGATCAAGCCAATATTTTGAAACATCAGCCTTTTATTCTACTACTGCACAAACTTGGATTCTACTTACCTGCCGATACCGGAAAGATCTTCGTTCGAATACCAAACTTCTGGACACCAGATTACGTATTCAGAATAGCACAACTATTGGGACCAATAAACAAAGGTAATGTATACTTTTCATTATCTCCATTCATTATATTCTTCTTAAACTGTCATCTTCATCACATCAGTGAAAACTGGTAACAATTTCGGTGAACCGTGTGAGGTTGTGTGCCGTCCTCAGGAGTTTAAGTGAACTGAGTCCTATTCAGTCACGAATGTTCTTTAACCAGGAACACCACCTACAGCCAGGTCATCCCCGGCCTTCTATTCCTTCTATGAATAGTTTTGGGAACTTTATTATATGCTGTCAAGATTACATCCTTTGTACGCGGTCTTTCGCATGTTGATTTCGCATTTCAAATGTTAACAATACTCTGTTTTCCCATTATTGTCAAAACTTCATCATTTGTGACGTAATTCACTCAAAATATTTTAAGCATACTTAAAAGACTTCAATATGGTTCATTAAGCTGACTTTCATGGTTTAAGTTACGTACAACAAGATAGAGTAGACATTAAGCAAAACATCAATTGACATATCTGAATTTGATACTTATTCTGAGGATGTAACAGCTCAGCAAAGTCTTTACTTCAAGAAAACTTTCTTTTGCCATTTCTATACTTGTTCTTATTTCCAGGTCTGGATCTAGGTTGTCGGTTATTTAGCAGTCAAAATACTTTAATTTTGTTACTTGTTTTATTGGCTTGTCGTTCATATTATTTATTGACATATGGTTTTTTGAAAGTTAGAATTTCGGTCTATAAATGACCTTAGTTTTACTTATGTTAATTTTTAGGTGAGATCATCACCTCTGGTTAGTTCGTCTAGTAGAATTTATTCAGCGCTGTCTGCTAATACCTCTGTGTTGTCAGCGTATCTTAAATTGGATACTACTTTTTCTACTTCTTTTTTATCTTCTAGTGTTTTTTGAAAAATGTATTCTCAATAGTCATTGGACATAATAGGCGATAGAACATATCCTTTTCTTACTACAGGAATAATAGGTATTTACATTGTTAGGCCTTTAGAGAGCCATTCCAGAAGAAGCCTCTGGAATCTTCGGAGTGCAGGGATTGATTCTTTTTCCTTGATAGGACCATCCAATTAAATCCAAGGGACTCCAAAGGAGTTCTTACCCCCTACCCGTTCAATACTCAAGGAACAATAATTAATATAAATGTGCTAATAATAACCTTTTATATAATGTTGACATAATCGCAAGGTCAAGAAGAGAAATGATAGAGGCATTCAATCAAATAGAATGCGCTATACCAAATAGTGGTCTTAAAATAAATTTATTATGCAATCAAGTGTAATAAAAGCAGAAATAAGGCAGCTACAAAATCTAGCAATAGGACAATACAACATTGAGGGGTAAAAAACTTAACATATTTGTGATCCCCAGTTGTCTGATAACAAAGTTGCTTTGCAAATAAATGTTACCAGGGCTTAATTAGACAACTAAGATCTGATAACGTTGCAAGAAAACAAAAAGCCAAATATACAAAACCTTAATAAGACCGGTATTCACATATGATTCGGAAATATGGAAACTCTCTATAAGTCAGGATGGATTGTTAGCCACCTTTGAAAGAAAAAATTTGCGACACATGTACAGAAGCATAAAATAGAATGGAATTTGTCGAAGAAGGTACAACTTTAAACTATACAAAATATACCAGGATCCAGATAGCATTCATTAAAATAGAACGGCTGTGTTGTATAGGATATGTGCAAAGGATAAAAGGGAAATACCAAACAAAATAGTCAAAGAAGTGACAGTAGAAAAAAATAACAAATGGTGAAAAAAACACGAAACAGGTCTGAATGGGGATGAATCCTGGAACAGGCCAAGACTCAAGAAGGGTTATCGAGCCCATGATGATTATTCTAAACATATTGTCCATACTTTTACATTGTTGGACATCTTTGTTTTCATAGACTGGTACTAAGATACCAGTTCTAGATTCAATTAGCCTTTGTTCTACCTCCATAGCTTTATTAAACAAATAACTAGTTCCTGTCTCTTCTACCATTGTCCATACTTTTGCAGATATATTATCTTGTCTAAATGCTTTCCTCTTCTATTTTTTGTTGTTTTGGAGCAACCTCCTCGTTTATATTTTTGGTCATTATTTTTTAACTTTCTCCACTGATTTCTGGTAATGTTATTTTATTGGATGAAGGAACCAAGTATTTCTTTCAGGACCTTTGGTTTTCATGTACCAGTTTGGATAGTACAGTAATGTATTATTTTTGTTTTGGATCTTAGACCTGTTTTTCCACTCTTCATTTATTCTTTCTTGCACTTATTTTGACTAACACTAGGTATCCTTTTTTCCAAGTTTTAGATACTTATATATACCTAAATTTAAATAACTCTGTAAAATAAAAAAACATTATATATACATTAAGAGCTAATGAAGGTTCGGAAACGAAAAAAGTTGCAACGATCCTATAGACACAATCAATGCTTTTAAAGGATTTACTAACTCTATTACTCAAAAATAATATTACATTTTTGTTTTTTATTCACAGATAAGCTTAAATTTGATGTTGATCTACTAAAAGGAATAGATAACTACAACGCTTTTGAAATAAAGCCACACGTATCTGCCACTTTCTTTGATCCTGGAAGATTTTCTATTCCAGATCTGAAGTTAACACCTTCTGTTGTTCGTTACACGCCATTGTAAGTATATTTTAATACACCGAACTAATACTGTTAATAAAAATTCATTATATAAATGTCACAGTAAAAATTACCGTTTTCTAAAGTTTCACCATTTTCTAACCTGTACAATACAAACACATGCAAAACAGTAATGAAAAACTCTTCTGATTCTTCTTCTCTAAAATTTGAAATGTTTCTTCGGTCTTTATAAAAGTTGAGTTCAAATTTTAAAAATAAGCATTAATTTTTTAACAGACTGCAGTGTTATGACGTCTTTGTAACGTTGGACTGAGTATAAAAGACTATCTCTATCAAAATATATCCAAACAACTTGCATTCGTACTTGGCACAGCCAGAGAACTTGTGTTCGTAGTTTTCTGGCACAGCATTTATATTTGAAATTAACTGACACAATCGCAACGCCGGTTTAACCAAGGGTCTTTTCGGGGTTGTAGCACCCAGTGGTTGAAGTTTCTATGGCGGTACGCGCGAAGCGTACTTTTAATTTTACCTTTAACTTTAACCTTAACTGTAACCTTTAATTTTAAAATGAAAAAGACAGCAAATATTTGATTTCACGCAAACAGCGCCTATGTATCTGTTGATACGTATTTCGACCTAATAGGTCTCATCAGAACAGTTATTCATAGGTGTTCTCAACGTGAAAGATCAATACTTTCTGTCTTTTAAGAATCAACACTAAAATGGCTTCGATATGGACGCAATAGCGACATCTGATAATAAAACCGTAAAATAGTTTCGAAACACAATTCAGATTTCTGCTTTAATCTGTGCTTTCTACAAATTGCAAAGCAAAACAGACGTTGATGAAGGTGTTAAAAGAGACATGGGGAATCTAAAATTTGCATTCCACGACATGTCTTTTCAACTAAGCAGAAATCCTTAGCGAATTGGTTTCTTGTACTCGTACAGAGTAGATCCGAATAAAATGAAAAAGACAGGAAATATTTGATTTGCACGCAAACAGCGCCTATGTATCTCTTGATAAGTATTTCGACCTAAAAGGTCTCATCAGAACAGTTATTCATAGGTGTTCTCAACGTGAATGATCAATATTTTCTGTCTTTTAAGAAGCAACACTAAAATGGCTTCGATATGGACGCAATAGCGACATCTCATAATAAAACCGTAAAATAGTTTCGAAACACAATTCAGATTTCTGCTTTAATCTCTGCTTTCTAAAAATTGCAAAGCAAAACAGACGTTGATGAAGGTGTTAAAAGAGACATGGGGAATCTAAAATGTGCATTCCACGACAAGTCTTTTCAACTAAGTAGAAATCCTTAGCGAATTGGTTTCTTGTACTCGTACAGAGTAGATCCGAATAAAATGAAAAAGACAGCAAATATTTGATTTCACGCAAACAGCGCCTATGTATCTGTTGATAAGTATTTCGACCTAATAGGTCTCATCAGAACAGTTATTTATAGGTATTCTCAGTGTTAAAAGACAGAAAATATTGATCTTTCACGTTGTGTAATCATAACGTTTCATAATTAAAAATAGACACTCCTTTAGAATTGGTACAGGTTTTATACGAAAATAACTGAATATCTTCGTATCCAAATGTTAATATTTGCCTGCGTATTTTTTTCTACATAATAGTCGCAAATGCAAGTGGCAAGCGCTATCTTTCGACACTAAAAAGGGTAAAGACCTACTTAAGAAATGCAATTTCCCAAGAAAATTTGAACTTCTTAGCAGTTTTATCCATTAACAAGGACCTGCTAAATTAATTAAATATAAATGATGTCATCGAAAGCTTCGCTTCAGTAAAAGCAAGCAAACAAGCTTTTTAATAGTAAAAGTATTTGATTACCTACCTCATGTTATCTGTATGAATAATATTTTTATTTTACTTTTTATAGTTCGCCCTTAATTTTTGTTTGTATTTTGTTAGTATTCATTTAAGTTTGAAACCCAAAAAAAGATGTAATTGTTTGCCTTATTTTAATAAACTTGTATTCAAAATATGTTTTGTTGAATTGAAATAAAGTTAAGAAATATTTTTAAGCCTGGGCTCTTTTTAAGAGATCTCTTAAAAAATAGCATATGTCAGATGATGTTTTTTGTTCATGTATTTTGAAATAACAGGTAATGAGCTTATCAAGGAAATATATGCGGTAATCCTCATAAAACCAACTGAAAATCATATCAAGCAGATCTGGAATACTATTTAAGTGGGGTTAAGTGAGATTAATTTTTGATAAAATTTAGAAAACAGTAGTACACAGTATCTTTTTATTAACTCGATTTCGTTATTCTGTTTTATCTATGTTACGTTTAGTTTATGTTGAGTTTTGGTTCTATTGCAGCATAAAGTTTTAACAATATGTAAACATTAATTATTTTAGACCAAACTCTACTGAATGGTTCCAAAATATTTTAAGAATTAGAATACCTACATCTGCCTTGGATTCTTATGAGCCAATCCCTAGGTAATGATACATTGCATGTGAATGAACGTCTATTAGCAGCATGCTTGTAGTTGAATAATGTAGTTACCTTAAAATACATTACACAGTTAAATTGATATCCCGAATACGCTTAGTATTAAACAATCATTCATTTAGGTATAGTTGTATCATTTTTTTTTCTAGAATTCAACGTCTTATACGACAACGACGCTTCTATGACTTACTATCGTTTTTCATACATATATTATTTTTCGATGTTTAACTGATTCATTAACTTTTATTTATTTATTTCCGATTTCATTACGCATTCTGATACTATCACTCAGGGGCGGCTGGTCCTATGAGACAGATGAGGCAGTGCCTCACCACTATCAATCGACTATTTACGTTCTTTAACTACAATTTAACTTTTTGGAATTTTCTAAATAACTTTATTTTCATTATGATAAAAAATTAAAATATGTACACCCCTGATGTCTTATCTTTGTATATTTCTTCATAATCTACGGGTCGGACAAGGGACAAGCTTAAACCACAAAATATTAAATAAACAACGGCTCCATTCTCCGCACCAGCAGCTAGTATATCATCTGTGCATCTCATTCTCTCTTTAAAAATTATAGCCGAGGCAAGCCTCACGGCATTGCTCTGTCTGGCATATTAGACATCATATTATGTAGCGAAATTCAACATGATTTATTTATCTTCTGCCCACTATTTCACCGAACAGGAGAGGCATGCCGCTTTCGTTTGGTGTAGTTCTTTTAATTAGCAGCGTTGCCGTTTGGGTACAAAGGTACCCAATTCGCTACATTTTTTCCCTCGGGGTATAAAAGTACATTTTAAATAAAACATAGATTTTTATTTGAAAATTGTAACAACATTGGAGTATTTTCCTTTAGTAGATGGTACTATACATATTGTTCTATTGTTTTCCGATTTAACCAGGCCACCTGGCCTGCAATTTCTAGGCCACCTAGATCCTTGAGGCTACAACTTGGCCGCTAACGAAGGTGCAGGCTCGAGGATTACAGCTCCCTCGTTTTTCGTTCGCTTTTATCTCACGATATGAGATTTCATGATAAACGGGAGTAAGTCACTTAACGACACCTTGGGTATGATTTAAGTTACATTTATGAGCACCCTATTACACATGGTGCTCATAAATACAGCTCAATCGCGGACTTTTTCAAAAAGCAGTCAGCCCTTATGTTGCACCTTCAGTGCACATAAGGGAGGGTGGAGGAGGGCTTAGGAGAGCTTTGAGGTGAGGATGACTTTTGTTGATCCGCGCGCGTATCGTCAGAAGTCCTTCTCACGCCAAGTCATTGTTTGCTGACGCGAGCAATGCTTCCTTAGCCGGGTATGACTGGAGCAAAGAGAAGCTAACCATAATAATAATAATTTTCCTTAAGTGTAGTGTGCCTCACCATCTTGTACTATCACGAGCCGCTCCTGCTATCACTAGTACAAAAGTTGCTGCAGTAGATAATTTTCAACCTTCTTCAACCAATTCAATCAATTTAAACCTCCACTTAACATCTTGCTTATACCCCGATTTTCCGCTTTGTAGATTATGGTATTCTGTTGAAAACAAATGGAAAATTTATTTCATGGACGATATAACTAGACATATATGTGCATACTAGAAATGCCAGATATTGACGTTCAGTGTTTGGCTAACTGATTTTCGTTTTTTTTTTTTTCATCTCGATGTGATATTCTAAGGGTGTAGTGTATATCTCCGTGACGGATTTCACGTGTTACACGTGTCTTATGAAACAATTTGTGTATATAGGGAACAATAGAGTTGACCTAGGGAACGGAAATAATGTAAAAGATCCTATGAACTGAAACGACGATGGAAAGGCGAAAGAATAGTACTAATAATCTCGTATTTGCCGGGAAGATCCTTTCGAAATGTTATAACGCCAATTGCATCTTTAGCTAGTCTTTAACTAGTCAATGTCAAGATGTGTTGGAGAGTTTCTGCTAAAGGATGCTTTCTTGGCGAATCTCTAAATTAAGAATAAACTCTTCTATGACGATATCTTCTACATTTTTAATTTTATAATTTCTTTTTGAGGATTGGTTTTCTAACATTCACATTTCATTTGTAATCCCCCCCCTGCAATTTCTCTAATTCCCCTATTTCTATCTAAATCATAAAACCAAAATTACTTTAATAAATTTGCGTTAAACTAAACTAAGGCACTTGTTTACTGTACTAAGTAACTAAATATAAATTGAATGGCATTTCCTCATAAATAAAATGAATTGTTCTTTCACGGGAACTTAAATTTAAGATCATTTTCACTGTTAAATGATCGTCAATTTGAAACAACGCGACAGAATAGCACAGAAGTCTAAGAACACACTGAGTGACACAGATTACTATTACTTGCCATATTATCACATTTGAAATAATTTCGAACCGAAACACATAGATAACGACACATGGATTGAATACCTAAAGAAGCTTTATAATGATGAACAGCAAATTATGTTAGAACCAGAAACACCAGAAATCATTACAAACGAGGAAGTCGAGATAACCGTACAAGAAGTAAAACAAACTTTAGAAAAACTGAAGAACAGAAAAGCTGCAGGTAAAGATGGAATTCCAAATGAATTATTGAAATATGGTGGAGAAGCATTAACAGAACAGCTAACAGCACTAATTAACAAAATCATCAAACATAATAAAATACCTGAAGAGTGGAAGAAAAGTGAGCTTATCCTACTATACAAAAAAGGAGATAAAAAACAACCTGAAAACTACAGAGGTATCAACTTATTAAACACCACTTTGAAGCTTACAAACAAAATATTGCAAGGCCAAATAAATCAGGGAATTACCTTAACGGATGAACAGCAGGGTTTTCTCACAGGAAGATCGTGCACAGATGCAGTATTCATCATAAAACAGATTACCGAGAAAGCACTAGAGTATAACAGACCAGCATTCATATGTCTAATAGACCTGAAGAAAGCGTTCGATAAAATAAAGCTTAAAGATGTAATTCACCTTCCTTACGATAGAGAAATTCCACGAAATGTTATACAAACAATAGAGAACATTTACCAGAACAAAAATATGGAAGTCAGAATAGATGACCAGCTTACAGATCCAATAGATATGGGCAATGGAATAAGACAAGGAGACTCGCTTAGTCCAACGCTATTCAATCTAATCATGGATGAAATCATCAATACTATTAATAAAGGAAGAGGATACAAAATGGGGAACAAAGAAATCAGAATACTCTGCTATGCAGATGATGCGGCCCTAATTGCATCCAATGAAGACGACCTACAAAGACTAACCCATAGATTTAACACAAGGGCAAAGGACTTTAATATGGTGATCTCTACACAGAAAACTAAAACAATTGTAATTAGTAAAGAACCAATTAGATGTAAACTGGAAATTGACGGTATCAGCATTGAGCAAGTAATGGAGACAAATTACCTAGGAATTACACTGTCTAGCTACGGAGATGTGGAGAAGGAAGTGAAAAATCAAGTACAAAAGGCTAATAAAATAGCAGGTTGTCTTAATAACACGATATGGCGCAATCCCCACATTAATACCGACGTGAAATCAAGAATCAAGAATCTACAAAGCAACAAAAAGACCAATAATGACATATACTTCAGAGACAAGACCGGATACCTCCAAAACTCAGCAACTACTAGAAACAGCGGAGATGCGTTTACGGAGGAGAATTACAGGAAACACACTGAGGGATCGAATGAGGAGTGAAGAGATCAGAAGAAAATGCAATATACCAGAAATAAATGAGTGGACACTGAACAGAAAAAAGGAATGGAACGAACACATAAACAGAATGGCAGAACACATAAAGAGACCCGATTAGTCAGAATAGCGAGGGACAAATCACCAAAAGGTAGAAGAAGTATCGGGCGACCACGCAAAAGATGGAGTGATAACCTCCAATAGAGGCATTAATCGACATTGAACAAGCATTTTGCTTATAAAAAAGAAAAAAAGAAGAAGAAATAATTTTACAAGTATGGCGTCTATCAGTCATTTTTAATAATTACGTCAATAAAATATAAAAACTATGAAAAGATGCTTTAGTTCAGCTAACCAAAAATATATTAATTTTGGATTTACAATTAAGAAAATTCTTTGGGGAAGACTTGGACGTGTACCGTATGTAATTTTCTTCCATAGATTTATTTTTTTTTAACTTTAAGAGTGCTAATATTACCTATGCAAGACCTGTCTCATCTAAAACTACCCCGTTTTTTTTGATTTCCCAAATTGTTATCATCATCATCAGTAGCTCGACAACCCTTTCTGGGTCCTGGCTTGTTCTAAGATTTTCCGCCAGTCTGTTCTGTTCTTTGCTTTGTTTTTCCAGTTGGTAATCTTAAGTGTTTTCAGATCTTGTTCCATATATCTAAGTTTGGGTCTTCCCTTTGACCTTCTCCCTACTGATGTTTGCCTGATTATATGTTTTGGCGTTTCAGTTTCCAACATCCGTTCAACATGGCCCATCCAGCGCAGACGTCCGATCTTTATGGATGTTACGATCTCGGGTTCATTGTATGCTGTGTATAGTTCAAAGTTATATCTTCTGCGTCATATGCCATTTTCCTTTACCCCCTTATATATGTGTCTAAGGATTTTTCGTTCAAATGTACCTAATAGGTTCTCATCGCTTTTCGTCAGTGTCCACGTCTCTGATCCATATACAAGGACCGGTTTTATCAGGGTCTTGTATATTTTGCATTTAATAAGTCTATTATATGTTTTATTAGCGATATGTATTATTCTCTTAAAGTCTTCACTGGTATTGTTATCTGCGGTAACTAGTGAACCTAGATATGTAAAACTTTTCACGCTTTCGATGTTATAGTCTCGTATTGTTAGATTCTGTAGGTTTCTTTGGCCTGTCGATTTACTGGCCTTCATGTGTTTGGTTTTTATTTCGTTAATGTTTAGGCCACTGTTTTGTGCCGCTTCTATCATCTCTGTTTCGCTTCTAGCTATGATATCAACATCATCTGCAAATGTCAATATTTGTACACTTTTTGTTATTATTGTTCCTCTGGTGTTGACTTTTGACTCCCTAATTATTTCCCTAATGTGATGTTGAACAGAATACAGGATAGGGCATCTCCCTGTCGTAGGCCCGTTCTCACATGGATTGTATCTGTTAGTTCGTTTTGAATTCGAATTTTGCTTTGTAGTTTAAGTGTTTCTTTTACTATATCAATAAGTTGAGTTGGAATATTAACCTCTTTTTGTGCATGGATCAGAATCTCTCGATGGATGCTATCATAGGCACTCTCAAAGTCAATGAAAAGATGATGTGTGTCTATATTAAATTCACTAGTCTTTTCCAAGATTTGCATCAAGACGAAGATCTGATCTATTGTGGACTTCTGCCTGCGGAAACCACATTGATATCCCCCAATTATTTGTTCCGCATATGGTCTCAATGGGTCATACACAATATTTGACAGTATTTTATATGCCACCGTCAGTAGCGTCATTGCCTGGTATTTTTTGCATTGAAGCTGATCTCCCTTTTTATGTAGTGGGACAATTACTTCGGTATTCCAGTCTTGTGACAGTTGTTTATTATTCCATATGTTCACTATTAGTTGGTGTATCAGATTCAATAGGAGTCTCCACCTTCCTTTATTCCTCAAATTGTTATATTCATTAATAATATGTTTGACTTTGTTTTACATGTAATTTCCTTTAATTTCTGAGTTTTCTTCAGCATCCAGCCATTTTTCCAACTTGTATACGTTTCCACTTTCTCCTCCTGGTTTGAATGGCTCATTTTTGGCGGCCATAATTTCTTCTTCTTGGGGTGCCGGTCCGTTCCGAACGTTGGCGAGCATTCTGGCTATGATAACTTTGTTGGTTGCCATACAAAACAGCTGTGTTGAGGTCTTTCTATACAATGCTCTCAGGTTAGCAAGCCAGGATATTCTTCTTCATCGTCTGGCCCTTTTGACTTCAATTTTACCGTGCAAAATGCAGTGAAGTAGCTCATATCTGAGCTGATCTGAAATCCGCGGTCGTGTTCATCGTCCGCAGTACTTCTTCATTGGTGACTTTGTCCATGGTATCTTTAGGATCCTTCTGTATAAGGTCATAATTTAATAGACAAAAATTTGTAAGTAAATTATTTTTGTACATAGACTTTCAAGATTTTACCAAGACCATTCTGCCTTATTTTACTTATAATATCGGTTATTTTTATATGTCGTATGGGTAATGAAACCTCCAATTTTTACAAAGAAATGATTAAATCCATATACTTCTCTTAAGATCTAATACAGTAAACGCAACGGCAGAACTTTATCATAGATATTCGTATAATCAATTATTTTATTCCCCTAGGATTTTCATTAAAACTTTGATGACTTTATGCTAAAACATATCATTTAATTGTCGAATATCGTTAGTTTAAAATATTTATAGTATTTTATATAAATTATCTAGTATTTTCTATACATATTTAATTATTATATTTGATATATGTTTCAGTACTAGCCAGCTCTCAATCGCAATTCCCGATAACGAGATAATATCTTGCAACATTCCACCACCCGAACTTGCCATTGTTAGCATATCGAATGGATGTCCAACAAGAAACTCAGTGGAAATGGAATGTTCGCCAATTCACGTAACAGACAGTGACTTGGTGCTCAGCGATGAAAGAAATAGTAACTGTGATACAGCCTCTGTGGCATCAGACTTAACTAGGATGTGTGTTAGTGACGAGGATGATAAAGTGGTATTGGTTTTGAATGGTACTGACAAAATTGCGTGATTTGTTTTAATTAGATTCTAAGTCAATATTTTATGTGTAAAGAAAAAAGTTGTAAAGTATTTGAAATTGGGTATCAACTCAAGGACATACGGGTATTACTAAATAATCAAGGATTAGAATTAATAAAATAGTTTTTATAAGTAAAGCCTATATTTATAGGATATTTTAATAGTCCACGTGCCATTGCTAAGATTGTCGCACACATTCATTACGTTTTATTATGATAAGGACGATGAAACTGCAACAAAACATGCAAGAAAGTCAAGTATACTGCCCTGCTAAGCTGAAAGGTCTTAACTGACAAAATCGCAGTTTTGGTCCTAACGGTACTGGGTGGTAGCGAAAAGAATTCTGTATCTTCCTTTCAAAGCTGATCTGTCCTATGTGTCATTAAATAGCTGTTCTAAAGTGATCCTTGTTGTCCTAAGTTCTAACTAAAACCTGATTACTAAGCATTACGTCCTATCTGAGCTTTACAAACCTAGAGTGTTCTATTGTAACAGATAGAACAGTCAGTATTGCAATATGTAATGCTACCAAAAATCTAGCATGCTCTGTGCTTCCAGTGTGCATCATATGATCTCTATAAGACCGAAAGCAATCATGTTAATCCAACATAATATTTGTGTAGTGTGTGAAAACTATGCATCTCACAGAAATAAATATATTACTGTCAGAATAAGTATGAAAAAGATGCGGAATCGCAACTAAAATCATCAGATCTCATAGTTTCAGCAGATCTTCAGAAAGTAAATGTTTTCAAGAGCAGATATGTTTAAATAAGTCATTTTTACTAGGCGCATAATTGCTTTTAACGGAAGTTTTGTTGCTGTCGGGAAAGGTCGGGACGTCCGTCCTTTAGGAGTTCTGTGACACGAAGGAATATCAGGAAGAAGAAAAGAAGATATGGTGAAGAAGATAATATATTTTCTACGCATTCTTCCTAAAAAACAGGGATAAAGATTGAATAACAGTTTGGCTGGATAAGAACAAGAACAAGAATTGGTGTTTGTTCAGCTTTTTAGTCTATATAGTAAATGCTACAGAAGTTAACTTAAAATAATTTAACCATAAAATATTTTGAGCGCGGACACACCTTTATGTCCGCGGACCATTTTCACCACCAGGTAGAAAAATCATTAAAAAGGGTCAAAACTGTTTGGGATTTTAATTACATGTTCAATGTGTTCTAAATTTAACAAAACCGATGTTGTAGCATTAGAGAATAGACATTTCTATGAGTGGGCAGATTTCAGTTCAAAATACAAAAGCCACGCTGCTATCTCAATAATATTTGGCTGGCAATTTTTACGGGAGGCGAGAAAACATTAGAATATAAAAACTCGTATGACACAGAAGATTTGAAAAAACTGAACATTTTAACTGCAGGTACATTTAAAACTGGTGTGATACTTCCACCTCCACAAAACTTCAACCGAAGAATTAGTCAAGAGAGAACGCAGAAGTTGCTGAATAACCTGCAAACTATAATTCTAGCTCCAGCCAACTAGAGACAGTTTTGGGAAGAATTCCCGATAGGCTATGTAGCTGAAGAGCACAAAAATGGAGTATTATAAGTTTTTTTACAACGTTAGAGGGATATACTAATATAATGTAAAAAATAAATGTCTCGTTATAAGTGCAATAAAAGTTCGTTATAAAAAAATCTTGTCGTATCTGAGATTTTTAGTAAAATCCTAAGCTAAACCGTCCTATCTATTAAAACTCGTGTATGCTCTAAACTAATTACTTCCTTGGATTATCCCATAAATTCTATATACACAAATTAAGTTCATTCAAAATTACAGTTCGATATCATTAATATTACGGATGGCGCAGCAAAGTAAATTTAATTGCGTTTTTCACAAAATAGCACAATTGGTAGATAGGACCTATCAGCTTAGCAGGGCAGTATAAGTTGTAGAGATATACCGCTATAACTAAGAACCATGAATAGCCTATAACTATGAATGCTAAAAAATCAGATTTATAGAAATTTCGAGTGTTTGAAAGGTGCTGTTCTTGTATAATGTAATAGGTGTATGAACGTAATACGAATAGTGGAAAAAGGAAACTTCTTTGTCATCTCATAAGTGGAATCAGATGTGCCAATCAAATAATGGACTAAAAGATAAAATAGAAGCGCACGGTTGAAAGAAAGAGAATTTTTGTTGGTCCAGTTATTTATGTAGGACTTTTGTAAAAAATGAGAATTGTAACGATTTCCAACCTCAGATTAAAGAAAGAATTTTAAGTTTTTTAGGACGGAAAAGTGGATAATCTTAGGATGAAGAAGAACACTGACTTATGTTGGTAAATATTACACTGACCCGCCTAATCGAAATAACGAAGATGAATTCTAGATTAGCTTGGCTGTGATAAGGCTGTTCGATTATACCTTAATAAATGAAATTATTAGTGATTAAATTACACTTTAAAATTACACAGTTGTTTTATAGACATATAAAATACAAACGCTAATAAAAATGGTATCGTATATATATATAAAAGATTCTTATAGTGATAATATATTAACTAAAAGATACATTATAGGTATGTTAAAAATTACAATATTTAATGCTTTTTATATTTGCTTCAACAATATGTATGTTGATCCCAATGTACTTTACAATTATTTTGATGTTGCAATATTTAGATCTATATCTGTTTCTACATTAAAACCTAAAAGCCAAATTTATACAATCCTCAATCTGTTATTTAATGTTCTTAACTTCTTTCTTCGTCTTTGATAAGCAATATTCTTTTTCGACCAATTTTTTATTTCTTTTGAAGATTACTTGCAACTTTTATTTGTCGATATAAACTTTCTTCATTAACTTCTGCATTAAAAGGAATAAACTGTAATTTTTATTACAATTACTTTACATTTGATCTTTGGATTTTCACTTCGGAAGTAGAAATCGAAACGTGATATATAGCGTATAAATGCAAAACCAGACATTTGACCTACCGTAGAATGGGGTGACGTTGATTCTATAAGGTGACTTTGATAAAACATAAATATTTTGTTTCAAGAGAGTATACAACCCAAATGTTTCGTCCGTTATGGTGGTTGTCTGAACTTTATTTCAGTGCACATGTTGATTCACTATAGCAAAAGGTGTTTGTGGCCAATATCAAAAGTATACGGTTGTAAATTCACCATTGAAGTTTTTGTTTGAATTTGAAGATTTTATTTTGTGTTACTAAATTTAAACATACAGCTCTTACAATAGAATTGCAGGTAATTTTGTGTATGTTGCCTTAATGTAGGTCTAGTTGTCACTATTTTAAAATATTTAACCTAACTTATTTCCGTAACTACTCCATGAAATTGAATGATTTCTTATCCGGGGTCACTTTGATACATTTTTCGGGGTGACTTTGATACTTTATTTCTTTTTATAGTTTGCTTAATGAAACTTCAAACCGTTATTTATTTTCAGGATTTCGTCACTATCTGCATGAAAAGAAAAAATGCCGCGAGTTTATAAACGAAAGTTGGGATCAAGAAGCTACAAGAACTTCTCTGACGAAAATCTTGAACATGCTCTGCTTCAAATAGTAAACGGAAACTTGTCTGTTAAAGCCGCTTCAGAAAGATTTAAAATTCCGTATGGTACTTTATATAATAAATACAAAGGGAAGCATGTGAAGAAGCCAGGGGGCCAAACTGCTTTGACGGAGCTGGAGGAAAAATCAATCGTGTCCTGCAGTGTCAAATGTGCAGATTGGGGATTTCCATTATCGACGCTAGATGTACAACTTTTCACTAAGAGTTATTTAGAAAGAACTGGAAGAATTATCTCTAAATTTAAAAACGGGGTAAGTCCTGGTAACGACTGGGTAAAACTTTTTTTAGAGAGACATAGTCAGCAAATCTCTGAACGACTTGCGTCTAACATTACTAGAGCTCGGGCAGGTGTCACAAAAGAAACGATATAATCATATTTCAATAATTTAAGAACAACTCTCTCAAATTGCCCTCCATCACACGTTTTCAATTACGATGAAACCAACGTTAGTGATGATCCGGGGAAAAGAAGATTGCTTTATAGAAGAGGGACTAAATATCCAGAACAAATCACTAATCATAGTAAAGCCGCCACATCAATAATGATGTGCGGTACTGCTGATGGTACACTTCTCCCTCCTTATATAATATATCGCAGCGAACATATGTGGGATGCATGGACATTAGGAGGTCCACAGGGCTCTCCTTGTTGTAGTAGTGGATGTTGCGCACGAGGAGCTAGATATAACCGAACAAAAAATGGGTGGATGGAGGTAACTTGTTTTACAGACTGGTTTGAGACCATATTATTACCCCACGCAAGACGGCTGGAAGGTAAAAAAGTTATGATCGGTGACAACTTGGCGTCTCACTTTTCAGATCATGTTTTAGAATTGTGTGAATTGCACAATATTGAATTTGCGTGCCTTCCCAGTAATTCAACACACATATGCCAGCCTATGGATGTGTCTTTTTTTTAACCCATGAAAGTCTCTTGGCGAAAAGTTTTGACGGAATTTAAATTGCGACACCCAAAAATTACTGGTGTACTCAAAGATCAATTTCCGTCGTTATTAAAAAAATGCTTGGAATTAATGGATCAGACAATTGCAAAAACTGAGTACAAATGTGGAGATTGTGAAAAAAGTGCAATTAAGAGAATTTTGAAGAATGGGTTCGAGGCTTGTGGCATGGTCCCTTTCGATCCAAATAAAGTCTTGAGTAAGATTACACCAATCAACCATGATGTTGATTATGTAGAACCTCTGATTAACAACAGCCTCACAGACTATCTGATGAATAAGAAGTCCGAGATAGAAGTTACTAAACGGCAAAGTAAAAAGAAACTTCATATCCAACCTGGTAAAAGTGTAAGTCGACATATAACGGCAGTTGACAGTTCCTCCGATAGCGAGTTAAACAGCTATAATAGTGAAAGCGAAAATGAAATTGAAAATGAAGATTCTGTGGAGGACCAATCATATGAAGATGAGATGAATACAAAACCCTCCCTTGCTGAATTGAATGTTGGAACTTACGTGCTTGTAAAAATTATGTCAGGTAAACAAAAATGAAAAAATTACGTATATGCCGGAAGGATACAAGAG